GATTAAATTAGCTTTCAGAATGTTCGACGTTATTACTTTCATTATACAATTTAGTTAAAATGGAAAGTAATTCTTCGTCGTTTGGTGTGTCATTTTTCATGAGTTTGTCAGTACGTAGACTAGAACTTGTGAGTTTATCTTTCAAGTTAATATTTCTACGAATTGCAATAAGGGGGGGGGGGTTTGGAAAAATGTTACACAGTAACAAATCATTCCGAATTAAATCCCAGTTTTTTAATAGGGCTCTTTTGAGCCTGTACCCTTGTATATATGGGTTGAACGTAGTGCAGTTAATGATGAGAGACAAATTAGCCTAATCAGACAATCAACATAATTTTCACCAGCAGAGCGGTGGTATGGCATCATTGGAGGCTAATATTTGATAAAGCCTAATTATGACGGGAACTAGAAAACAGATTGCAGACATGTTGGAAGATGCACTTGGCCTAATGTACCTTGAATGCAAATGACTGCAGAGATCTCGTTGAGCGAGCCACAAGACGTGGTTTCCCTCGACATTCAGCTGGAGCACAAGTGGCAATAAAATAAATACGATGTTTACTATATTGGGGCCGCCATCTTGAATACGGCATTACAGCAAAGTAAATAAAGAGACAAGTTACGAAACGCGTTTTTCAGATTCCTACAAATCAGGAAAAAATACCAATCTTTCATAGCCAACCCATTCGTTGGGGGTAATATTAAGCCAGCCGTTAGCAAGATTCGGCCTCATTTGTCGTTTTGGTGTGGAAAAATCCCATGCATACGAACACCTAATTACACATCGTCCAAATCGCACGGTTTGTTGGTGCCGACTCCACCAACCCGCGCAAAATCAGCCTGGTAAACGCGTATTTTATTTAAAACAAATGGCCAAGTTTGATTGGATGCGCCTGTTGGAAGGGCGCCCAATCAGACGCTGTGTAACATTGCGCGGTAATCTAAAGAGAATAAACTGTCGAAAATGGCGACGTGTACTAGTACGGTTACTTCAAAATTCTTCTAGTAACCGTGTGTGTAGAGTGTGTTTAGGTTGTTGTCAAACCCCAAAAACCGGCGCTGCATTTTTTCACCCAGTTTTCCACAATTTTTTATGCCAACGTTGCAGGCTGTTTGTGGCATACTTCGTCAGCAAAACGGCAAATATATATATAGATAGATAGATAGATAAAATTTTTTATTTGGAACGTACCAATGAAAACTTGAGTAAAGTCCAAAAATAACAATAACAAAACAAAACATTCAGAACAACAAAAACTTACAGTATTAAAACATATCAAGAATATAGAAAATAAATTTTGCAAAAATGCTAAGAATGAAAAAATCATTACTTGAAACAATAATAGGAAATAATTCATCCATGCTAAAATCTTCCAGCTTTGGGGCATAGATGTATAAAGCTGCAAGGAATTTAGATCTTTGTTCTTTGATTTGACAATTATTGAATATAAAATGTAATGTTTCTCATCCCCTACTTCATTGCATTCTTGGAGATTACATAGCCTGTTTTCCTTCAAAATGCCTTTATGTCTACCGGATTCAATGGGAAGAAAATGTGCAGAAGTTCTAAATTTAGTATAAGCTATTCTATGATTTTTATTTTTAATTTTTTCCAAATAATGTTCAAATTCAAAATTGTCTTTAGCACACCTGTAAAAGTCAAGCTTACAATTGTTCAACAAATTGTTTTTCCACTTCATACGGTACAAACATTTGAGCTTCTCTTTAAAAATATCACAAAAATTGTTCTGATGTATGTTGTTCTATATATGTCGACAATGTTTTACCACAGGGAGCCCAGGAACTATAATCAACTGTAATACGCAGTCTCTATGAGCGCGGGGGGGGGGGGTATCGGCTGGTATCTAGTGTAAGAAATAGACTATTTCTCCCTATGATGTTACTGTAGTCTGCGGGCTTGTCAGGGGGCTTGTTTTGGGCCTGATTCCCGCTGTTCGGGGCATGAAGCAAAAGATCCAACGTGTTTGATAATTTCTGTCACTCGTGGAAAATTCTTCACAGCTGAGTGTGCGCTGGACGCACAGTCAGCTGGCGCACACGTGATAATTAAATAAATATGATATTTACTATATGGGGGCCGCCATCTTGAATGACGCATAAAACTAAAAAAGAGACAACTTGTGAAACGCGTTTTTCAGATTCCTACAAATCAGGACAAAAATACCAATCTTTCACAAAAATACGGTCCGTTGGGGTTATATTAAGCCAACCGATAACAAAATTCGGCCTAATT